GTTATCCCTGTTTTTTTCTGGGCTCCTGTCACATGGAGAATTGTTTTCTATCTTTTTATTTAGCACATTTTAAACATGAAGGGAAATCTGCAGATGTGTTATAATACCATACTAGCCAGCCTCCAAAATGGTCCTCCAATGATGTTAGTCTCCCAGTGTTGAGATCTTTGTGTAGACCCTTTGCTATGGCTTGTGTCTAGGCATCCCCACAAAGCCTTGTGTGGTCATGGGGGGGGTGGCTTTTTCAGGTCATAGTAGCTGGATCTAGATTGTGTGTGATGCTGGGATTAAGGGTACACGATTGCTGGGCAGGATTAAGGGTGCCCTACTCTGGGTGTATAAAAATATAAGGGACAGAAAGAGGGCTCGTATGTGGTCACTTGTTGCTTGCTGCTTGGTGCCTTCTGCCTGCCCTGCTTTGCCATGAACTGTTTCTCCTCGGTGATTCCCTTCTGTGATGCCACTCTGCCTTGGAGCCAGCTGACTATGGACTGAAACCTCTACAAACTGTAAGCCAAATAAACTTTTCCTCCTTGCACTTTGGGTGTTGGGTATTTTGTCTTAGCAATGAGAAACCTTCTATGCTGGTTATATATGATCCTTGTAATCAATAGGATGTGACAAGAAGGGTGTGGCTTCTGTGGCTTGGCCATAAAAGTCACTGCAGCTTCTACCCTGCTGTTTCTTGCTCATTCATGGAAAGGCCAGCCCCTAGGTTTTAAGATTGCTCAAGCAACCAGAGAGAGACCTGTGTAGGAAGGAACTAAGACCTGTAAGTGACTAGCACCAATGCGTGAATCATCTCTGAAGCATCTCCTTTTGCCATCCAAATCTTCAGAGGACTGTGGCCCTAGCCAGCATATTTGTGTGTGTGTGTGGTTCTGGGGATTAGACCTACAGAGTGCTGAGCTACATCCCTAGCTCTTTGTATTTTCTTTTGAGATAGGGTGCTGCTAAACTGCCCAGACTAGCCTTGAACTTGCAATCCTCCTTCCTCAGCTTCCCAAGTAGCTGAGAGTATAGATGTGTGCCACTGCACCTGGTGTAGCCAATATCTTAACAGCAACTTCATGAGAAACTCCCTAGCTAGAAGCACCTTGCCATGTTGCTGCTGAATTTCTGGCCCACAGAAACAGATAATAAATGTTGTCTTTTAAGCCAGGTAGGTATAAGATAATAGAGGTACTTTTTTTTCCCACTAATGTGGGGACAAATTTATATTAACAAATAACAAAATTGGTTCTTACATTTAAAGTAGCAAAATGTCCCTATTCATAGCTCTAGCGTATTACTTTGAAGTTCACTGTAGACCTAAAATTATTAAAGGAGGCTTTTTATAGGTGTTCCTTTCTTACATAAATCACCATGCATTGCTGGATGATTATTATAAATTATAACTTTGAGGAATGCAGCAGTGACTAGGAAACTGTAAGACCTTATTATGCTTTCAGCAGGAAAAACAATACTTGCGAGGGAACCAACTGTGAACCTTTGATCGACAGTGGTACTGCTTCTGAAGTTTTGGACTGGCATAGAGATCTTCAGGAATAGATGGTAAATGTATGGGAAATTACAATCTTCGTTGTGGTCTCAAAAGTCTAAATTTTAATTATTCAAATGTTCTTATAATGTAAAAAAATTACAGAAGAAAATATGTTATTAAATACTTGTAAAAGTTCCTTTCTATAATTGACTGGAAGGTGTTAACAGATGCATGTTTACAATGCTAAGCTATATTGAACAGAACAAGGACACATGGATTACTTTATCATAATTTTATTTAGTTCACTTATACTATGTTATTGAATATATTTTGATTTTCACTTTTATTTATTTATTTTTTGAGTTTCACTTTTATATACACTAAGGATTACTAATCCTCTGAAATTCTTTAGGGATACATTTTTGCAAATAAAATATATAGTTACTTTTTAAAAGTCTGTGGCTCAAATTCAATTAGTTGTGTTCTGAGAAACCTCAAGCAGTGAATTTAAAGTAGTTTCAGTACCTCAGAGGTAGAGTTTGCTTAACATGTGGGAAGCCTTGGGTTTGATTCCCAGCACAGAGAAAAAAAAAAGTAGTTTCAAGTCAAACCTACAACTAGATGCCTAGCAAAAACCAAAGAATATTTTCTCTGAGTATGTTACTGTTTCAGCCTTAAAACCAAGCCATCTCTTTCCCTTACTTCTATCTTTCCCTTTGTATACGACAAGTACTGAGAGTTACTTCTACAGCATTCCTTCAGTATCCATGCGAATTGGTCCCAGTAACTCTGACAAGATCTGAAAATGCCCAAATCCTTTCTAGAAAATAGCATAGTATATAACTTATGCACATCTTTCTGTGTAGTTGAATCATCTTTAGATTACTTATAATACGCAATACAATGTAAATGGTACGCAAATAATTGTGTTTGCTTCAAACAGGGTCTCATTGCGTAGTTCAGGCTGGTCTTGAACTCATGGTGATCCTCCTGCCTCCCAAGTGCGGGGATCATAGGTGTATGCCACAACACCCGGCACAAATAATTGTTATACTGTGTTGTTAGAGAGGAGAAAAAGTCGGTATACATTTATTACAGAGGCACTCCCTCCTCCTCCCAACCAAATGTTTTGAATTCACAGTTGGTTGAATTTGTGGATGTAGAATCTACAGATACAGAAGGCCGGCTTTATTTGATCTTGCCAATTCTTCTCTTCTCTATCTCTTTTTAAATGCATCCAAACCTGCTCAGTGTAAACTTTTGCCCCATACTCCATGGATGGCAACTTCATCCTTATAGTTGCTTAGGCCAGACGTCTTGGAACCATCTTGGATTTTTCTTTTCCTCACAGCCCTATCCCATGCTTCAGAAATTCTATTAGCTGTGGATCCAAATTATATGCAGATTCTGTATATTTCTTACATTGTCATTGCTAACTACACAATGAGATATCAGTATCAAGATGGTTTTCTTACATCCATTAAGTCCCTTCCCACAAAAGCAGCTCTGGCAATTTGTTTGAAATGTAGGTTAGTTCCTCTTTCCTCTCAGCTCAAAACCACTCCTTATTTCATTTAGCGTTGAAAGTCAAAGTCCTTACAGTAATTTGAAGGTCTTACATTATCTGAACCCCCTTATATAATTTTTTTACTATTTATCCCTTTGCTTACTTAGCTTGGGCCATCCTGCCCTCCTTACTGGTTGTTCAGCAGGCAAGATCCTGCCCCAGGTCTTTTCTTCTGGTTGTTCTCTCTGTATGGAAAGGCTCCCTTAGGAGCCGGTAGTTCTTGTAGATTTTCACTCAGTGATGCCTACTTGAATATCCTATCTAAAATGGCAACAAATCTGCCCCAAACTGTCACGTTTCCTTTTTTTTTTTTTTTTTTTTTTTTTT